GATTTCCAGAGCTTTGCTACCTGCCCACCTCGTTTCCTGCACACACAACACCTCTAGGTTCTTTTCCTCCATCCTTCTCACTATTTCATGTCGTTCCCCTGTCATAGTTCCCACGTTCAGTGTGGCCGCTTTTAGAATGCTCTCCTTTGGTTAGCGTCTTTAGCCCTCTTCGCCCATTCGTGTATATATATATATATATATATATATATATATATATATATATATATATATATATATATATATATATATATATATATACATATATATATATATATATATATATATATATACATATATATATATATATATATATATATATATATACATATATATACATATATATATACACACACACACACATACACACGCACATGTGTATATGTGTGTGTGTGTGTGTGTGTGTGTGTGTGTGTGTGTGTGTGCATATATATATACATATATATACACATTGTGTGTGTGTGTGTGTGTGTGTTTATATATATATATATATATATATATATATATATATATATATATATTATATATATATATATATATATATATATATATATATATATATATAATGTATGTATATATTATATATATATATAATATAAAAATCAATTGCTACCAATAACTAAAAAAAACAAATTACTATATTTATAGTTAACCCATTCACGCCGGGTGTCACGTATACGTGACGGGCCTTCTGTGAGTTTACTTGTTTGATTGTTTACAAACATAGATGGTTCCACTTGCACTTGTACTGCCTGTCTCGTCTGTTTACCCTTTTCTTTAATTTACGAAATTATTTTGCGTTATCTTATTTTGCTGTTACTAATGTTTATAACATTATAGTAATTATAATGTTTATAATAAAAATAACCATCGATATTCATAGCACTAGTAAAAATACATTTTCCCGCCAAATGAAATCCGGTAAAGCAGAGCCATCTAGTGTAGAGAAATATCATTAAAAAACATAAAAAATGAGCACAGCATTTCCCCCATTTTTTGTTCATTTTTACCCGGCGCGAATGGGTTAAGAAATTATAAAGTTAGCGGCAATCATAACTAAATAAAATAAATATTAGCTTTCTGCCTACATTTTTTTCTAATGATTGAGAGCCATTCTCCTGCTACAGTATCTGGAATAATTAAAAAAAAAACTTTTACACACAGGAAAATAATCAGTTAATTAATTTTTTTTTACTGTTAATAGCGATTTATTTTAATCACAAGAACAAGCAAATTTAGCATTTCTGAAACTTGTTTTACTGTACATTGCACTAGTTGCTGTTGATTGTACTTTCCAGTATTATTATTATCTCTTATAGAAATATCAATATTTTTGAGATATGCAAATAACTAAATCTTTATCTGATTTTATTTACAAATAGTTAGACATAACATAAACAACAAAAGGTCACCAGCAAAATCATGCACAAAAGATGAAAACTATGTTATTTAACACTAACCTCTTGTTAGATACCGAAGCATTAATGCTAAGCGACGGTCAGCAGGAGTTGCCTTTCTCAGTTGAGTATCCTTTTGCACTATGTGAGGTTTCATAAGATGCAACTAGTTATAATAAAAACACCTCTATATTCAAAATTTGTAAAACCCGCAACCGTCCTCCAGTGCCTGTTCCTTCACTAGCATAATTATGGCACTTATCTGTGACAGACAGCTGTCCTCGGCGAGATATTCGTATTGTTCTGGGTGACTTCAATGCCGTATCTGTGTGTGTGTGTGTGTGTGTGTATGTGTGTGTGTGTGTGTGTGTGTGTGTGTGTGTGTGTGTGTGTGTGTGTGTGTGTGTGTGTGTGTGAGAGCATGTGGATGTAGACCGTTGTTAAGAATCCACTGCAGAATCCTACCTGTTCTCTAGGCTGGTTAGAATCCAGAATGTCAGAGATGCGAATGGTGATGACTGTTGTGAACAGTTTGTAAGTAACTGAAATGAGGCTTTTGGGACGGTAGTTTTTTAGATCCTTTCTATCCCTTTTTAATGTATCAAAATAATTGTTGCATTTTTTCAGCCTTTCGGAGATTTTCCGTTGAGAAGGCATTTGTTAAAAAGGTTGTCTTGTTTTGGTTCGATCAACCAGGTACTGGACCTCCTTATGGAAGGAGAGGGTCCGGTCAATCCTTACCCCAAGGAATTGGATGTCCTGAATCCACTCCAAGTCCATTCCCTGGATTTTCAGACTTGTGCTTTGAACATTGTGTCTTAGAACCATGGCTTTTGATTTGGCTGCAGAGATCTATAATCCTATCCTACAATAGTCCTCAGATACAAGGTCCAGACAACACTGGGCTTTACTTAGGCAGTGTGGTCCAATGGAGGTGATTGAAAGATCGTCTGCATAGATGATCTTACATCCCACTGGGATGGTGTATGTTGAGGATACAGGACACTGGGGTGTTGAATAAGGCTAGACTGAGAACCCCACCCTGTGGCGTTCCTTTTTCTAATGGTACACCTCGGTGTTGTGTGCTTTGCTACAGATACCACACTTGGGCTTGGCCTTGCAGCTACCCTGGTGGTGACCATATTTCTGGCATGTGAAACACTGGAATGGTTCAGGCACATAGGTTTTGAGGTTGTAGGAGTCCCAGTTACCCATATGACAGGGTAGTGCTAAGGGCTCTTTTCAGGGTCACCAGGACTTGCCTGGTTAGAGTCTTGCCTGTTAACATTCGGGAAGCCTCACGACCTGTGGTGTGGAGTAATCAGATCTACGAAATTGAGAAGTCAAGTAGCACTATCTTGACTCTCCTAACCTTGGGACTAAGTGGTGAGATAACATTCCTCCCATCTTTAAGCTCTCACTTTTCCTTCAGGAAATTCAAGGACAAAGATCATGCCCTGGTCTCTGGTAACCAGACTGACAACCCTCCACGCCTCCCTTGCATCTGTAAATAAAGTTCCCTCCCAGATTTTAAAGAAAATTATAAATATGTATTTCTAATGAATATGACTTAGTGGAATTATAATTAAACGTTACATAATGTGACCATGCTTTAGTTAAGAGAGTAAAATAGATAATTTCCAAGGGCTCGTCCCCCCTTTGGAAAATACTAAAGCCCAGGTTAAGAACCATCGGCCTAGAGGAGCTGCTGGTTTGGCTGGCCTTGCTTGTACTCCCATTTCGGTCAGGGAGGACGTCTGAGAGGAAGTCAGAGGTCTCTGTCTTAGATGCAGGCGTGGAGTGGCACATATTTTTGGTGACAGGTTCTCTGTGCTTCTGATTTCTTCTTGCCACTAGAAGCCATAAATAGCTTCAGAGTGACTGACATGGTCAGTGCCTTGCACGGTTCATCATCTGTAACGTCTGTTTGTAGGGGTTTTGGTAAATTAGTTCCCGTGAAATTAAAGTTATTTCACTTTATCACGCCCCACTCACCACAGAGTCCAACAAGGGGAAGCTGCATGTTAGAGCTTGTCTAACAGCTACAGGGGTTCTAAAAAAGGTTTAGGCAGCCAATAGCCAACGTGAACGGCACTCACGGGACATGTGTGAGTGCCAACGGCGCCATGACTGCTTGACCCTAGCCTCCCGAAAGAGACCAGCCAATTAACCTGACCAGGCCAGGGTCAGGCCACCTGTCTTGCAAGAATAAGGGACCAAAGAGGCGTGTTCCTAGCCGCAGGGCATACTCATACACGGCATCGCTCAACCTCCAGGACTCCCAAGGGTGCCACTTACAGCATACATATGGGTGGGTGAAACCCCTGCAAGAAGACTAGAGGGGAGGTCATTCCACCTACAAGTAGGCATCATTATCTGGAACCATTTGGTCATCCCTCTTCAATGAGCCAGCCACCTTAAGGCAGCATCACCTTAGAGAGGGAGCTCAAGGTCCTGTACCTCTTCAAGGCTGTTCCATTTGCAGGACTGCTCATCAGTGAGGTGCAGTTGTTTATATAGACCCCACCCCCATAAATAGGGGCGGAATCTTAGGAAAGTGTAGCATGACCCTTTTAATCATTTAGAATTAAGATTTTGGGTTCTTTGATGACAAACACATACAGCCTGTTTTTGGTAGGTGGATAACAAACACACCAAAAATTCTATATTTATCCTATCTATTACAACAAAAAATAAATGTAGAGGGTGAATGCTAATTGCCATTCGCACATACCCACAGATTTACTGATAATCACATGGACTCGTGCGCCTGGCAGTGTGTCTTGCATCTCTGTGCAAGTACTATGGATTTGAATTATACTTTAACCAGGAATTATCCTTTATACGCATACAGAAGCCGCCTTTAAAGATGCTAAATCACCTTCATCACACTCCCACCGGCAAATTTACACAAACACACATATATAAACATATTGGACAATATGTAGTATAAGGTAGTGGCAGAGTTGTGTAATAAAACCTACATGAAATGATAGAGCAAAACAAACCAAAACAAAGTTCTTCTATGGCAATATATGTGCAAATGCTTCCCAAAGCTACTCTACATGAAAGAGAAGATCCCCCGGTCAGTATGAAGAAGAGGGTAGTGGGTTACTTTTGAAACAAATTATATTTTTCCTACATGAAATCCATTGCTTTCCACGATTCTAGGCGTTGTTCCTTGTGTAAATGAATCGTTGAGGTGATATGATCACCATTTCCATCGACAATCTAGATTTAATAGTCTAGATCTAAATTTGATTTATGACGATCTTCGGAGTCCCACTAACCAATGATACGCCTTGTTTCAAACGTTTCTAGGCTCCAGCTGTCAGAGATAAGTGAAAAGACTATAGTTCCTAACCAGAAATTTCAGTGAGCCATAACAACCACAATCTAACCCCTATCCTGTAAAACTATTTGCCCAACCTTTCTAGATAGGTAACAAGGTCCCACCGTCTTATTCTATGGTAGGAGAGACACTCACCATACCTGTATTTCTCTCTGGAACATATATATAAATGAATGTTCAGTCATAAATCCAGCCACTTTAATTCGTACTGCCATCCATGCAATCTTTCGTCTCCGTAGCCAGTTATAAATGAGTTTGGCATTTTCCCTACATACGTCCTGACGAGAAACTACCGATCCTTGCACACTGGGCAAGTTGTATTGCGTCGTAAAACGTCTTATGCTAAACCTCTAGTTACCAGGAGTATAGTAATAGACTGTAATATAAAAACACTACTTATCCCTAAACTTTACACACCAATTTATTTTCCCTAATGCTTCTACGTGTCAAGAAGGCCCACCAAAAATCACTCGTTCACTTGTGTCAATAAATCTAACTCTTTATAGTGTGTAGTTCTTTCAAACAAATCTCTGAGTTGCTCGTAACTTTCATTCTTAGCGATAATGTTTTAAGTTTTAATATTCTCATGTCATGTATGTGGAAATCTATCAATATGTATTCCAATAAGTTGTGGGATATTCAAACTGCAAATGCAACCCTCAACAGGGGGAAAAACGTAAAGAAACGTAAACAAAGAACCATAAATCCCAATTTAATTATTAAAATCAATTAAACGTTATTTTGGAGAACTTAGAATCGAGGGAAATTGATCCATTGTAGTAGAACCTTTAGGTCACTAAAGGTTCTACTACAACAGTTTACTTTTCTAAATTGTGTGGGCAGGGTTTTAGGGGTAGGCTGCCACCACCTGAATGAAGAATAGGAATGCATGTAGACTATAGTTCCCCACACTCATATGTCTATATATGTGTGTGTGTTGCATCTTTGGTGCAAGTACTGTGGACCTTTAATCCGGAATTAACTTGCATGTGCGTGCAGAGGACGGCTTATGCCCCCCATCCCCCAAGCCACTACCCATTGAACCCAAAAGATCGTTAAAAAAGGCTCTCAAAAAATAAAATGAAAATGAAGATGAGAGCAAAGAAGGAAACCACACCATAGGGCAAAACAGCGATAGGAAGGAAAAAAAAAAAAAAAACGCTTATATAACTGATTCGAGTGTCAGTGATAGTAAACTAAACCCACAGAAATAAATGCATGAACTTTAATAGTAATAATAAACTAGGTACGCGCACATCTCAGATCCAGCGGCCGCCATTTTGCTCCATTTCCTGTGTGACCGATGGGTTTGGACATATTTTAAAGGTAAGTGCACTCTTAGTATTATGTTTAATCTTTCATGTCAGGAAGATTGATGGTGATTGGTTCATTAAAACTGCATACCCCTCATGCTCACCGCCGTCCGTCATATTAAAGTTGTTCGAAACTGCAAATAAACTTGGTCAATATCCTTTATTAATGCCTAAAGACATCGTACGTGTGTATATTTTGAATGGTCATAGTTTAGGGGGCCTGGTGATTATAGGTGTAGAAAGTGTTCTGCAAGCTGTTCACTGATGCTGTATCGGCAAGTTTAGGTCACGTGATCACTTTCCTGGTTGCTCATGGGCTCATTTCATTGGTTTTGTAAGCAAACTGAACATCATATACCTTCTGTTAAAATTTCAAGTGAATATCTTTAATATTAAGGAAATGGCATTAAAAAAATAGTTAGAAATCCTCTGTTAGGGACACACTCGCTCTATTGTTTTACTGTTAATTGATAGGAACAAATGGGACGCCAATTACTAATCTTGAAATGTCCATAACTTCCTTACTATTGAACCTATTCCTATGATCTAGGTATCATTTTGAAGGTCTTTTCCACCTCTACCTTAATGTTTTCTCAAAATAGCCATTTGTAGTGTTTGGAATTTTTGGTCACATACCTAAATAAACGGGCTGTGCGAGACCTTTTCTGATAGGGTAACGGCCACTTGTCAGTACTGATATTGGGGTAATATATTGCACTTTAAAAGCAGACCAGTGGTTCTTAACCGGAGGATCGTGGAGGATCAGTGGTTCACGAAACTTGGACATGCATAGTGAATGAAAATTTACCGTTTTCAAGGACCGTTGCTGTAGAATAATAGGTAATTATTCAAAAGACCTTCGCATGATCGATCACAAAGATATTGACAGCTCACCTCTTACTTTCTACAAACCAAATATAGGGAAATTATGCCACTGAAACCGCCTAATACACATGATTTTGGTCCCAACAGCACTGGAGGGCATGGGCGGTACCAAGGAAATTGTGGATAAAATATGAATATACATAGAATTAGTAAGAATACAGTCAAATGCAACACCGAAATGAGGTGCTACCGCCATCAACCCTCTCCCTGGACGACAAGAAATCCATCGCGGACGTACGACAGGATGGAACGTAGGACAGGCTGCACTATGGCTATATATCATACATCGATATGTTTATTGCAGGGGGCTGGGACTCTCCTAGGAGCCGAGAATTATATAGATGAAGTGTATATATTTCTAAATAATTTTCTTTATTTTCTGTAACCCTGCAAAAACGTGTATTTGGAAAACTTATCATCAAAGTGATATGCTGATATCTGCGGAGGTTGCGAGGCTTGGGAAAGGGGTCACGAGAGAAAAAAGGTTGACGATTCACAGACGTCAACGCTTGCGGTATCTGAGACAGCTGTTTATGCTATTAAAATAAGAATGAAT